GGGGAGGGGTATTGAAAAATTCAAAATGGAAACATTTCCCTTGGTTTACCGAATCGATGTGACTGGCACGATCGTTGTGCATTTGGCCATGCAGGAAAAGAAGGTCCAGGGTATTGATTACGGCCTTGTCCCGGCTACACTGCATTTCGCTCGACATCAGAAGCCCCTTATCCGAGGATTAGTCAGCAAGTGAGGGTGTGGATATGGCCTCCTCCTCTTCCCAAGCAACCTTTACTGAGCCAGCGAAGTCACTGCTCTGCTGCTCTGCTCACTCCTCTCCCTCACCCCCCACCCCCTCTTTTTCCTCCCCCCTTCTCTTGTGCTACCCTGCTCCTTGGAGCTATTTTTTGTTGGTGTCATCGCTGCAGTTTTTTCCCCCCCTTTTTTTCAATATACTTGGACAAGTCTTGACCATGCGTCACAAGTCACAAAAAAAAAAAAAAAAAAAAAAAAAAAAAAAAAACCACACTTTTTATTAATTTTTTTAAAAAAATTTTTTTTTTTTTTTTTTTTTTTTTTTTTTTTTTTTTTTTTTAGCATTGTCAGAACGAAATACTACCTTTTTTTTTTTTTTTCATTGGAGTTATCTAAGAATTCAAGAATTGCTGTCCCAGCCAAGCCGAGCGGAGGGAGTCCGGGGATTGAACCTAGACCAAGAAGAGAACACTGTGCAGTGTGCAGAGGAGGGGGAAAAAAGAGATGGTGACTGTGCACTGTGATTGAAAACAAAACAAAAAAAAGGGGGCAACTAGGGCGCAGTCACAATTTCAGTTTCAAGTTTTAAAACCACTTCCGGTGTCCCTCAAATACAACACATCCGCACCCGACCCTAAAGCTGGTCTGTATACATTCATGCTTTTCCTCGGTTTGGCACAACATTTGTGAAATCGTGAGTGAAACGCATTTTCAAACTGAAACCGTGACAGCGCCCTCATTTTCCCCCCATAAAAAAGACATGAATTGTGACATGAAATTAGCCACCACAGGTTGTCATTTTGTGAGAGTCCCACTGCCCTGTAGCCTACCGTCTTCACCCGAATAGAACGCCCGGTAATTATCGCCGTATCTGGGCTGAAAGTTGTGCCAATTTCCCAAATACAGCACCTATAATGACCGGGCGTTCTATTCGGGTGAAGACGGTAGTAGCATGTTGGGGGCGTGAGGCCGGGTATAGACCTGGTTTTTTTAATAACAGGACAGCTTAGTTTGGGTTCGGATTAGCCATATTGGTGGAAGTAAGGTTTGAACGTAGAAGTAGTTTGTGGCTGGTTGCTGAAGAGATTGATTCTTTTTTTTTTTTTTTCCCAAGAACACCCGAGCGAAAGTGAAGTGATTGATTCTTTCCAGCTCGCTAGAGGTGTTAGGAGCTTGGGTGGGTACTGCTCCCTGCACAGAGCAGAGATAGGTAGGTGTAGACCCATAACCCTAAACCCTAAACCCATAACCTTAGGATAGCTTAGTTCAGGTCAGTAACTTTAAGGGGTAGCATTAGACCCCATCCGTACGTGGCCCAGCTATCGGCCAGGGGAAAAGGAAAAAAAAAGAGTAGAAACGGTTATGAATTTGGGCGCTCCTGTAGTGGCGCGTACGTTTCCTAAATTTTTTGTGGCTTGTTAACGGGCATGACTTTAGGAAGTACTGGTGGTTTAAAGTGAGGTGAGAGAGAAGA